GCCTCGCGGGGTGCGTTGGCGGGGTGCAGCCAGCGAAGCTCCGTCCCCACCGAGCCCAAAGTGGCTCCTGGCTTAGAAACCCCGGCGAATTCCTTCGCTCAACGTTGCTCTGTCATCTCGGGTGTCACATTTCAGGCCCTGGGCCCTCGTCGATCTTTCCAGTAAATGTATTTTTTCGGTATTTGTTTCAGCCTTCCTGGTTTTTTGGATGAGTTATCGAATCAACCTACATGTTTTGTAGCAAAAGTTTTAGGGTTGTTAAATTTGACATGGTTTCACACAAAGGTCTTTTATAGTACTGGTTTTATAGACACGGGGCTGGGTTTTGCTTAAGGAAGCTTTGAAGATCGTAGGAGAGTTTTATCTGGTGGGTTGTAAAAAGTCAAACAACCCCACAGAGAATCATGGGTTAGGAAAATGAGCCCGAAGGAGGGGGAAAAAAATGGTGCCGAGGTAAGAGTGGAATGAAAAAGTACACAGGGTGGGGAAATTGCAGGATTGATTTAGCACTCAGGTCTGGAGATTACGGCCCCTCTATGGATTACCACCGCTGCTCAGACAGTACTTTGAAGAAAATACAAGGAAGAGCCGTTTGGGGGCCATGTGAGTGATTACTCATCTTTGTCACTAGATATATTTCCAGCCCAGGATGACAAGGACACCGAAGAGAATTACTTTCCCCTTGGAAAAGGAATCCAGAGGTTAATCGAACCCGAGGAGCAGGAAGCATATATTCCGTGATGGTACAGCCATTCATTACACCAAAATTAGGCTTTCTCACCTCAGACTGTGTGGGAACTCTCCAGGTTGTCCAAATAAGGTTTACGTGTGAATGTTGACAAGCAGTGTGATTTATACAGAGGTGATACATCACAAGCTAACGTATCAAAGAATAAATTGAACTTAGAAAGTGGTACCTTAACTACTTTCTGAAATCTAGAGAAGGGGTTGAGGGGGATTCTAAGATTAGCAATACTTCTGTATACTGTGTTTCTCACACTAGTTTTCATAAGCAAAATTGGAAGTGGTCTTCTTATCCAGGATACAAATGTAGTAATGCTTATCAATAGAATCACAATAAATTGTGATGAGATGGTGATTTTTAAAAACTGACATTATTGACACGCAAAAAAGGTAGGGTTAAATTTTCCCAAACTGTAAGAGTTCTTTTGTGATGTGGAGGATTGATCCCAGGCCTTCAAACTGAGCTTCATCCCCAGACTATTTTTTATTTTTTTATTATGAAACAGGGTCTTGCTAATTCGCGAAACTGCCCAGGGTGGGCTTGAATCTTCCTACTTCACTTTCCCAGTGTGCTGAGATTACAGATGTGGACTACCACACTTGCTTTAGGCATTTGTATATTTTAAAAAGGAAGGGAAACAATATTGCAGATCTCCTTGATAAGGTAACAGTGACTCAGTTTGGTAGCTACATACCCCTTTTTAAACTGGAAATGGGGCCTATGTGTTAATGAAATACTTTGTAGTGGTTTAGGTTATTTTGTAATTCTTTAAATTTACAGTGAGGACAACTTCAACAAGTAAAGGCAACTGTGAAAAGCAGCATTTGATTTTAGGTGATGGTATACCTATAGAAGAAAAGACTGATTAGGAGATGGAAGTGGGGAGGAAATGGCACTAACATGTCCAAGGCAGGGGGCAATATTCAGTTTCTCTTTTCCCTTCAGCATCCAGTACAGTGTACTTGTTAAACAAGCAGAGTTTTGGGGAAATTGCTTTCTGTATAGAGATAAATTCCCAAAGTCAGAAAGTTGCTAATTGGATAGGGTTGAAAATGAATGGTAAGACTTATTGTCCTTTTTTGGAGTTTTCTCCCATTGTGTTTCTTTTCACTGCCATGTTCAATATGTTATCTGTGGCCAGAAGAAAAACAAGAAGACTTGTGATTTTGTTTTTTAAGTTTCCAAGCTCATGACTGGATAGAATAGTTACTATTTTGTTCTCAGATGCCTAAAGATTGCAAACCAAAGTATTGTTATCAAGGAATAACAAGGTAGCAATGAAAAGACACATGTCTTTTTATTTCTTCTTGTTTAGATTTGTTGACTATATCAGAATTCAAAGTAAAAATAACTAGTAGAACATTAACTTCATTCAATGCAAATAGGATGATAAAGATTACTGCAAATTATTAATGCTCTGTTTCCTACTTACTATTGTAAGTTGAAAGAAAATTTTTCATGTTGAGGGGCTTTTTTTGTTTCCTTCACCAGAGTAAGGATACATTGTCCTTTCTGTTGCTTTCTGAAACTCAAGTTCAGTTAAAGGTAAAATGGAATAATATATATGCATATATGGTGTTTTTTTTAAGTTAGTTTTGTTTGTTTGGTTTTTTGTTTTGTTTTGTTGGTTTTTTGAGACAGGGTCTCACTATGTAGTTGAGACTGACCTGGAACTCACTTTATAGCCCAGGCTGGTCTCATACTCACAGCAATCCTTCTACCTCAGCCTTCCCAGTGCTGGGATTACAGGTAGTTTGTTTTTTGAAACAGGATTTCACTATGTAGCTCGGCAGGCCTTGAACTCACTATGTAGCCAAGGCTGGCTTTGAACTCCTGGCAGTCCTCCTGCCTCAGCCTCTTGAGTACTAGGATTACAGGTGTGTACCACCATGCCCAGCTATTGTTGATGTATTTTTGCCACATCCTTCAAACTTCTCCGGACTGAACTCAAATTGTTGGGCTCAAAGGAATGCCCATTTCTTTTTTCTTTTTTTGAGAAAGTTTTTTGCTGTTTAGTTCAGGCTGGCCTCAAACTTGTAGCGATTCTCTTGCCTCAGCTTCCTAAGTGCTAGGAGTATAGATAGGCATGTGCCACCATGCCCAGTAAGAAAGGCCCATTTCTTAGCTCTTTCACTCATTTGTGGCATAATCTTGCTGCAGGACCATGCTGTCTCTCCTTTCCTAGAAAGTGTTCCAGTATTAGACTAATGCCTGACAATGCCCTTTATTGTCCTTTCTTGTCCAGTTTTCTCTCATTTTGTGTTTGTGAATCTTGCACATCAGATTAAACATTTTTGGAGTCCGTAATTCTTTCTTCTTCTACATTCCTTCTAGCACATTGTAGCCTTCAGTGTGTACCTTGTAATTTGAGCAGGATAATAATGGAAAGGATAACTCTTTAGTCAAGGATTATTGCATTAATTTCTGGTTATGCCATTTTGGGAAAATTAGGGGATATTATTTGCTTATTAATAGGCTGAAGTAATATAATTGTAGAGATGAATAGTAATATATGTTGTAAAAAAATTGTTTCAGTATGAAGTGTTGTTCTGATGCAGATAGAGCAAACGTTTATTGAACCTTAGCAGTGTTGAAAGAGCTTCTCGGGTTCTGGGGTTGCTCTTTCACAGAAAATAAATAGGAAATACTCAGGTGAATTCTATGTGAAGGCAGGAGGCTTCCTGGCAAGGAACCATACACTGCACACTTGGGGTCAAGCTGAGAGCAGACTGCCTGACTTCAAGTACCTGCTCTGTCACAGATGAGGTGCTAGAAGCTGGATAAATTAACAAAACTCTGAAGGCTTAAATTTCATTTGAAAAATGGAAATAGTAAAGTTAACCCTCATGGGGTTCTTAAGAGTTTAAATGAAATAATCCATATAAAATGCTTAAGTGCTTAATGTAGCATCTGGTGTGCAATAAGCACTCTAATTGCTAATCAGTAGAATTATCATCGTTATTATCATCATTAGTCTAACTTTAGTAGTGGTATGGAGCCATACTTCTCAAAGTACAGTCTGCAGACCAGTGGCAATCCATAGCTTCACTGGTTTGCAGGGGTGGTTCCTGAGTGGAGACAGACTATGTCACTAAATATACTGTTCAGGTCAGCTGACTTTTAATAACAAGATTTCTTCAGTGAAGGAAGCAGTGAGTTGATTTTCTTTCTTTTTTTTTTTTTTTGTATCGGGGATTGAACTTTGGATCTTGCCCTTGCAAGGCAGGCAGCAGAACCCCTGAGCTAAATCCCCGGCCCAGAAGTGAGTTGATTTACATCAGTTGTAAGCTCCTTGTCTTGCCACAGACCAGTGCTTTTCCATGGGATACTGGATCCACAATCCCGTTCTCCAAAAGATAACAAGTCTCTATCCTGAAGATAGTTGTTACTCATTGTAATGCTTGGTAACCTTTTTTTAAACATTGTGATCATGGGTTATAAGTGTATTGTTTGTTAGTTCAGCAAATAGTTATTGATCATTCTTTCTGTTACTTTATAAGAATTGCAAAGATATCTCAAGTTAATCTTATTTTAAGAAGTCAACCATAAATCTAAACCAAGAAGAAAAAAGTGAAAATCTGAGTAAATATGTTGAGTGCATGCAGTGAGTGTTTGCAGTAGCTTTACAGTTTGGTTCCACAGGTTTCACATAAACAGATGTCTCCTTTTCCCAACTGTTTCCATAAAAGGACAGAATTAATACTTTTTCTTTTTCAGCATTGAGCTATCATAATAGCGTTCATATTATCAAGGTAGTGTTTGAATCTTCTAGAAATCTGAACATTAGGGAATATAAGTTTGTAAGTGCAAATGATAAAATTAAAACTTTTTATGAATAGTATTATAGAAGATCCATCCTTAGTGTTTGTTCTTGTATGCATATATGAGTAATGTTTTGCTGCTCTGTAGAATATAAAGAGACATTAAATAGATATGAAATGTTTTTAAGAGGCAGGGTAGAGGGTGTGCGGATGTGTGTTATACATGCCCAGTGAATTAGCTCATGGAACAGACTTATTCTCCCAGACCTGTCGGAAAATAATTTTAAATGTGTGGAACTGACCTGGGTCATTAAATGAGGAATATCTGTACAAACACAAGTATTCCAGCTATAGATTTACCCAGATTTCAGGAGATCTTTAAGAAAAGCAAGAATCCATAACATACAATTAATGAAAGAGGACAAAAAAAGTCAAAGGAATCCAAAAACATAGTGAATTCCTGACTGAAGTGTTTAAATTTTATTCAGCAATACCAGGCTACCTTGAACTTTAAGAAGAATGAAATGATAAACATGTAACTGTATACAGGATAGGCCATAGTGAAAAGGGTAAGGGGAGAAGGTAGATTGTCACAGGCATCCGGTCTGAAGGCCTAAGGAAAGGGAAGGAATGGAATTGTGAGAAATTTTAGAGCACTTGGTGACTTATTTAGCATAGGGCAACTTGAAAAGCTTAATGAACATATCTCTGAAGTACTAACACCATTCATTCAACAAGTATTTACTAACTGCTTAGTATGTGTTGAGCACTGTTGTAAATACAGTGAGCAAAACAGACACCTGTGCTTCATAGAGTTGACATTCAGGTTGAGGACACCAACAGACTAAACAATATGGGGAAATATATGTTATGATATGTTGTAATTAAAGCAGCTGAAGAGAGTAGGAAGTGGGTTTGGGGCTGTGAGAAGATTGGTAAGAATTTAGATAGGGTGTCCAGGTGAGCCTTTATGTTGCTGACATTTGATAACCTTTAGAAAGCAAGGGAACTAGCCATCGGGTATTGAAGGAAGAACATTTGAAGCACACAGAAGAGCAAGCACCAAGTCCCTGGGAGGCAAAGCAAGGAATCCTCATGTGGATCACTAGAAAGGAGTGAGCAGGGAGGAACTGTTGGAAATTGGAGCCAAGAGGCAGTGGATCTGGATCACACAGAGTCCCTTGATCCTGTTTTTCTTTGCAGTGAGATGAGATGGGAAGCTGTTGAGATTTTCAGGTGATTCTAACACGGTACCTCTGACGGCTATGCTTAGAATTGACTGGTAGGGGCAAAGGGTGGAAATAAGGAAGCTACTAGAGTAATCCAGGAGAAAGAGGATGGGGTTTCGAACCAAGTGGTCATAGCAAAGATTATGGGTCCTTGGGCCAAGGAGTTAGCTCAGTGGTGCCTCCACCTGCCATGCAAGCACAAGGGCCTGAGTTCCATCCCTAGTACCAAAAAAAGAAAGAAAGATTATGTCTCCTTGATATTTTTTTGAAGGTAGAACTCACATGATGGGATGTACTGGTTTCTTTTGTTCTGTAATGAATTACCTTTCATTTGGTGGTAATCTATTGACTTAGTTTTTTTAAGTTAAAAGTCTTTACCAAGCTAAAATCATAGTGTCACCAGGACATTCAGGGTTTTCTAGGGGTCCTTGGTTTACGGCTGCCTCTTCCATCTGAAAGCCGGCATCATCATCTCATCTCTCAGGTTATTCTTTGACATCTCCCTCTGACTAAAGCTGACAAAGTTCCTCTGATTCTTAGACCCAGGTGGTAAGATTGGGCCTACTGGGCCAGGGATTTAGCTCAGTGGCACTGCACCTGACTCCCAAGCACAAAGGCCTGATTTCAGTCCCCAGTACACACACACAAAAAAAAGATTAGGCCTACCACTACCATCTGTGATGATCTCTTGATCTCAGGATCCTTAATCACATCAGCAGGGCCGGTCCCTTTTGCCATACAAAGAACATATTCACGGGGCCGGGGATTTAGCTCAGTGGTTCTGCCACCTGCCTCAAAAGCACAAGGTTCCGAGTTCAATCCCTGGTACTAAAACAAAAAGTACATATTCACAGATTCTGGAGATTACCACATCAGTCTAAGAATCATATATGGAATTTGAGATTTTAAAAAGTCAAAGATAAATGGGGCGTGGTGGTGCACACCTGTAATCCCAGCTACTCAGGAGGCTGAGGCAACCCAACAAAACCCTGTCTCAAAACAGTTTTTAAAAAGAGTGAACCAGGGATCAGTCCCCAGTACTACCAAAAAAATAAACAAATAAAGAAAGAAAGAAATGGGATGACTAAGTATTTTGGTCTGAGCAATTTTGGAAGGAAGGAATTTGCTGAGATGGGGGGGGACCAGGTTTGTGACTTTGAGGTATATGTTAGGAGCTCAATTTCAGACATGTCAGGCTTGAGATGCCTATTAAATATTCCAAGTGGAAGACCATGAGTAGATAGTTGAACTGATGAGACTAGAGTTTAGGGGAGCAAATCATAAGAATATAAAAATGGGAGACAAATGAGACCACATAATGACTGCAAACAGAAAGGGAAGAGGTCTGGGGACTAAGTATTAGAAAATCTGCAGATCTCACTAAAGTGCTGAAATTGTGCCTTTGAGAGTTTGATAGATTTGAAGAATGCATTTATATTGAGTTGAACACAGAAAAATGCAAAAATATCACACAGGGAAACATAAAAAGTTACTCAGGATAAATTTAGTCTTGCTTCCCTTAGTCCCTTCTAAACTTTGTCTTTCTGTTCCTATAAACTGTTTTTCTAGATTTGTCTGACTAGACCCAACACATATAAATGACTAGGATACAGCTTCATTGCTTATCACCTTGTGATTCTGTCTTATTGAGGTTTTATGGATGTCCATTTGAGAGTTTAGAATAATCTTTGAAAAGTTATGCACTCCACAGTATGTCCATAGGATAGCTTTGGAAGTGAATCTCAGACCTTCAGATTTGAAATTCTTATAGTAGAATGTTGTTTATGCTGATAACAGAATGATTTTTATTGAATTTTATTTTGAGTGACCTATAACCCACCAAGTTATTTGCTTGTTCTTCTTTAGGTTAATACTATTAAATTTACCAAAGCAGGGCATGGATCTTTTGTATGTATTTAATTACCTCTGGGAAACAGCATGGCTCATTCCAGATGTGGGACTAATGCAGAAAGGTGTGTGAATATCACTGGAGTCAGTGGGTACAAAACACAGTCTCTAGTTGATCTCAGCCAAGTTACCTTCAAAATCTGGAACCCAAACCAAGAAGTGAAAAGTCCCTCTCATCAGTCAAAACAGATGTTCCGGAAGTCTAGGCACCTCAAGCTTTGTGCCTCAGACTCGGTGAATCATTGTATAGCCCGTGGTGGATTCAGTCCTTCCAAATATTTCTGTCAAACAAACCTGTCTGGTTTTTAATGTGCCAGGGAGGAGAGCTAGGTAGAAGAGCCTCTAGGCAAGCATGCTGATGGCAGGGTGGCCTGGGCACTGAATCCTGGGACAAGCAGGGCTCTAAAACACAAGCATGGCTTTGACAGGAAAATCTGAGGATATCATTCTGTTGTGGTAACTGATGTAATGGTGCCTCTGAGTCATGCAGAAAATGTGTTGAGTGTATTTCATTTAGAAGACAGAAATTTGGTTATCTGTTGCTGCAGGACAAACTACTCCAGAATGTAGTGACCATTTATTATCTGTCACCATTCTTTGGGTTCTAGGGCTCTTGAGGGGCTGGGGCTGTCATCATCTGGAGTCTTGGTAGGGTGGGAGCATCTTCAACAGCTCACTCTCAGGGTTGAAGGTTTGTGCTGTCAGCTACTGTGGCTTGGACATCTCAGAATTATAGCTGGTTACAAAATACAGTGTGTCAAGCATGGCAACACCTTGGAAGTGATTCAGCATTACTTTACTGCCTTCTTTTGGTTATTATGAGTCAAAAAAGTCAAAGACAAAAGCCAGCACAGATTCTATGCTGGTAATTCTACTTTAACTTTGAACAGTAATTTTCAGGATGAAGTTTTAAAAACTCTACCTGCATTGAGCTAAAAAGTCTTTCTCCCTCTCTGGTAATTTGTTTTTCCTTCTTTTAGCTTAGAGCAGAAGAGATAGACCCTACCTCTGCACTGGAACAGTGGCAAAGAATGTGGGATCATCTTTAATCCAGACATAGCAGTGCAGTGGGTATGAATATAAAACGTACAACCAAAGGGCAAGGTGAGCCTCAGGTCTCTAGGAAAAGGACTCATTTTAGAAAACTCTTCTTTTCCCTGAGGTTCAAAGCTGTCCCCACTTTATAAGACTTTAATGTAATTGCAAGATCATTATACTCTAGGGAGTATTGTGATATTTTTTTTCAGACACAGTGTTGCTGTGCAGTTCAGGCTGGCCTCAAACTTGAGGCAGTCCTCCTGCCTCCACCTCCAGAGTGCTGGGATTACAGGCATGAGCCACCATGCCCATTTTGGAAGTATCATGAATTAAGAGAAGCATTTATATTTGGTAAAAATAATGGCTGTGCTTTTTTTTTTTTTTTTTTAAGTAAACCAGTTAAGAAGGAAAACCTAAGGCAATCATGGTTGTAGTTTATTTACATGTAGGATGAGAATCTTGGGAAGGGATTCTAATTGCAACAAAAGAAAAGTTAATATAAAAATAAAGTTTAACTTCTCAAAGTATACTTGCTCTGAGGTCTCAAGCTACCAGGTTTCCTGGAGCTGGTCCATAGGTCTTATCCCACACCACAGGGGGAGTGAAGAGTTCTGAAGTGAATCCAAATTATAATATTTGTGTTATACACCATTATAATTCCACTTTAATTTTGAAACATGAGCTTTCAAAATAAGTTTTTAAGAACTCTACCTGCATAGAACTAAAAAAAGTCCTTCTCCCACTCTGGTTATTTATTTCTCCCTGTTTTAGTTTGTTGTGTGTGAGTTTGTGAGAGCTGGTATGATGTTGTTATGTGCCTGTAATCCCAGCACAAAGGCTGAGGCGGGAGGATCACAAATTTGAGTCCTCTACTGGGAAACTCAGTGAGATCCTCTCTCGAAAATAAAGCCTGCCTAGTTTATTAATGTAAGTCCTAGACGGCACTCAACAAATGCTTCTTGAGTGACTGGATGTTTCCCTGGAGACTCCAGAGAATGTTTTTTTCTTATTTCCCTACCCATTAGGTACTAGTCTTTGAGCTCACTCTTCCTTACCATGGAGAGTACAGTAATAGTTAAGGTTTACTAAGTGCTGTGACATCATGAACTAACTTTTCCCTCCCTTCATTCCTTTCTTCTTCCTCCCTTCCGTTCTTTTTTTCACAGTACTAGGGGTTGAACCCAGGAAGGGCTAAGCTACATCCCCCGGCCCTTTTTTATTATTAATTATTGAAACAAGGTCTCCTGAAGTTGCTTAGCTGGCCTTAAATTTGTGATCTTCTTGCTTAGCCTTCTGAGTACCTGGGATTACACGTCTAGGCCACTCACCACACACAGCACCATTTGTTCTGTTTGCATCAGTTTTTGTCCAATTTCTACCAGGTAAATATTTTTCTTTTTTAATCACCAGTGATTGAAGGAGGAAAGACCACCTACCTGACATGTGGGTAATAAGTTACTCGTGTAAATCTTAACCCTTTCTTGTGTAATTTCTCATCTTCATTTTAATTAAGAGCTGTCTTCATTAGCTCTTGGATCTGACATGTTGGGCTCAAGATCTAGGAATCTCAAGGAATATGCTAGAGATTCCTTATTAGCAAAAGCTAGCTGTACCCTTAGAAAGAAGGAAATCATAAATTCACTTTCCGCACTTTTAAAATTCTGAAATGGCACAAGCAAAAAAAAAATGATTAAATTTTTAAATACTTTGTTTTAAACTAGAGGATTTCTAAATAACAAGAGACTTTCTTATAGCCAAAGTTAGGGGGAAATTTATCAGCCCTTCACAGTTTGCCCTTTTGAAAGCCCAGGCATCTCTTTTGTCTTGGGATTAAGTGACCACGTGACTGATTAGTCTCACAATTACAGTCACACTCCCCCTCCCCCTTGCTTTCCATTCACAGTGACTGAGATGAAGAGGTCTGAGATAGAGGTCAGGCAGAGAGCACCCAGGCCAGGAAAAAGTTTTAGCCAACTAATCTACTTGAGCTAGCCTAAATTATTCCTGGTCATTTAAGCAAGAAACAGAAATGACATCCAGTTAACAGGAAAAAAAAATCATGCTTTTGTTTTGAAAGCCTACACTTTTAAACTTTTATGGGTGCCTGATTTTGTATTCTTTTTCCCTGTGTTTGTTTTTTAGCATGGGTTATTGGCAGTCACTCCTCATGGGAAGAGTGTTGAAGTGAACCAGCACAGTGGGTAACACGGCATCAAGGAATAAACAGATGCAGGACCGAGGAATTTAACCTGCCAGAACCTTGAACTGAGTGAGCCTCAGAGGTTAGGACATCTAAGTGTGGGCTTTCAAACCCTGTCTGTCTGCAGTGGGTTTCTGACAGGAAGAACTAGATTGTGAAATGTCAGCTTCCTAAGCTCACTGTTGGGAAAGATGGAAGAAGAACTGGAATGTCCAAACCCTGCCTCTGAAAGACGCTATTTTCCTGAATCCCTTGATTCCAGCGATGGGGATGAGGAAGGGGTGCTGACCTGTGAGGATTTGGAACTGAACCCTTTTGATGGATTGCCGTACTCATCTCGCTACTATAAACTTCTGAAAGAAAGAGAAGATCTTCCAATATGGAAAGAAAAATACTCCTTTATGGAGAATCTACTTCAAAATCAAATTGTTGTTGTCTCAGGAGATGCTAAATGTGGCAAGAGTTCTCAGGTGAGTAATAACTACAAAAATCATTTACTTTGTACATTGTATTTGTTTATTACTTAAGTTTATTCCATAATGTAGTTCTCTTGTATAATAACAATATCTAAAGCAAAAAAGACTATTACCAATCCAGATACAATAATTAGGCAACTTATTTTATTAATGTTATCAATGGCAGCTGAATAACAGTTAATATTACTTGGAAATTAATTATGTCCAGTGTACCACTGAATTACCCTAGAATAATCTATTCAAATTATCTCATTTTGCACACCAGATATTTGGAAATTGACTGCTCTATTTATGTGCCCAGTGTTCTGGTAGTCAGGTTGTACAGAGGGCCTTGTTAGTGAGGCCAGCTAAGCTCCAGAAAGCACAGGAAATTCTTATTTTCCTGACAAGGAGAAATAACTGAGTAACCAAATATGATCTAGGTCTGGGTTACATTATGGAAAAAGGAGTTAAAGTGTTCAAAGATAAGCTTAGGAATGTGAAAATTTTAGAGTTTATTTGTAACTAGGCATGGTGGCCCACACCTGTAATCCCATATTCTTGGGAGGCCGACATAGGAGTAGAGCAAGTTCTAGCCCAGTCTGGGCAGTTTATGGATTTAGTGAGACCCTGTCTCAAAATAAATAACAAAATGGCCGGGGATGTAGTTCATTAAAGAGGTCCTGGGTTCAATCCCCACTACTGATGCAGGGTGAAGGGAGTTTGTATGGGCAAAAAAGGATTCCTGAATCATACAGCACTCAGAAGCAGGAGAGTGAGTTCTGCTAAGGCAGTGTGAGCCTCCAGTTTTTACAGGCAGGTGTGGAAGTGAGACACGGTATGTGCACTTGATCAGAGCAGAAAGTTTCCAGTTAGAGGAGAGTTGTCATTCTAACTGGTAAAGTCTCCAGCTTCCTTATATTTTTTCTACTGGGCTCTGATTTGCCTGTGTAGGAAATTAAAGCAGTGGAGCTTCCTCAGCCTAATGTCACCTAATTATTACTATTTTTTTAACAGAGTAATATAGGAAAAAAAATAGTTTTCTTTGTCCTTCGTGTTTCTTAACTGGACCTCTCTATAACAAAAGACTTATTAACAGGAGAAAAACAGACAAACATTCATTAATGTGTACACCTCATACACACGTGGGAGATTCCCAGAGAAATAAGTAAATCTTCAGTTCTGGAAGAAAGCATTTAAACTTGAGATTTAAATACCATCATTCTCTGAAACAATGTAAAACATGTGAGGAAACCCCAGTTGAGATGAGATATCCAGGAAGTGCCTCTTCCACAGAGGTGTGGTTGGTTGAGGAGACTGAGTCCTTCCCCATTGAGTCATCCCCCTCTTCTGGAGCAGAGAGGGATACCTCTTAGAAATGGAGAGAGCCTATATGGATGTAAATTTCCCTCATGTCTGCTTCCTGCTACCCTTGTGTCTGAATTTCTCAAATAATAAATACACAACAGAGACATATTTTGGTTGGATGGTATTCTGGTCTCCTATAGTCATATTTTGGGGTGGTGTGTCCTTAGGCCTAAAATTAGATAGTTAATGAAAAAAAAATTTCCTTTAATCTGAAATGACTCTTCTTTCTCTCCTTGTTTTTAATGACCTTGACACTTTTGAAGAATGCAAGTGTCAGCTGGGCGTGGTGGTGCACGCCTGTAATCCTAGCACTCCGGAGGCTGAGGCAGGAGGATCACTGTGAGTTCGAGACCAGCCTGGGGTACATAGTGAGTTCCAGGTCAGTCTCAACTACACAGTGAGATCCTGTCTCAAAAAACCAAAAAAAAAAAAAAAAAAAAAAAAAAAAAAAAAAGAATGCAAGTGTCTCTTCAAAAAGTGAATGTCTCTAATATGTCCTTAGGATTAGCAGGAAGACCACAGAAGCACTGTGGTTTCTTCTTTCTCACTGCATCATATCAGGCTATGTCAGGTCTCCTCAGGCTGGTGATGTTAAATTTGATCACCTGGTAAAGCTGTGTCTGCCTGGTGCTTTATTGTAAAGTCAGTATTTTCTTCCATCGTTTGAGAAATATATACTCTGAGACTGTGTGAAATACGCTTCTCATCATATATTCACCCACTAGTATTAGCACCCATTGTTGATTCTTGCCTTTCTGTTGCTACACTGGTGGTAGCCAAATGATGGTTTTTCTTTTTCTTTTTCTTTTTTTTTTGTACCAGGGATCAAACTCAGGTCCTTGTGCTTGCAAGGCAGGCAGCGGAACCACTGAGCTAAATCCCGAGCCCGAGATGATGATTTTTCTAATCCTGATGTGCCTTACATTTATTTGGAATTCTTCTGTGAAACTCAGCTTTCTCTTCTTTATCATTTACTTATTTATGTCAGTGTGGACTCATTCTTATTTTATTCTACAGGTTATAATTCCTTAGTAAGCCCATTGATTTTGTTGCCCACATCATCCTTGGTATGGCCATTGGGAACACCCTCAAAACAACTGTCTCTTTGCCTTGTCTGCATCATTTTTGAGCACTTACTTGCTTTCTGGCACAGTAAGATATTCCAGGCCCAGGCCCAGGATTTAGCTCAGTGGTTCCAGTGCCTGCTTTGCAAGCTCAGGGACCCGAGTTGGATCCCTGGTACCAAAAAAACAAACAAATGAAAAAGATATTCCAGGCCCAACTAGCATCTGTCCTGTGCCAATCCGGGAAATAGTCCCCTCCACCCCACGAGGAACTCTGGTTCCTTTGAGCACTAAGTTTCATTTAGAGCCCATTGCCATTGGTTTATCATTGCTTCTATGCCTTGTAAGTGGAGAAAGCAAGATAATAAATGTGAGTGTGTGTACATACAAATCCTGTCTGTCTCTCTTGTCCATTCATCTAACTACATAACTGTTTCCCTTTCTGTCTCTAGCTCTATTTTTTTGTCTTTCTCTATTTCTCTGCATGTATTTCTCTTTCTCTGGATATGTCTCTCTATGTCTGTCTGTCTGTCTTTCTTTCTTTTTTTGGTACTGGGGATCAAACTCAGGCCCTTGTGCTTGCAAGGCAGGCAGCAGAACCACTCACTGAACCAACCCCCCAGCCCTTTCTCTATGTATTTCTATTTGCTAATCTCTCATATTCATTCATCTAGTTATCTGTGTCTCTGATACCAGTTCAGCATTCTAGAGTTCATTGTAGCCTTTCCAGTTTCCACCTTTATAGCTCCCCTCTCTATGAAAAACATGGCTCGCATTATTTGTATCTTTACTTGTTCAATCTTAGAGTACTCACAGTTTCAGAATTGCTAATCCTCATTAAATGTTTTTAAAAATTTAACATATACTGAGTTTTCTTTTGGAATTTTTGATCTTAAAGAATAGGAATTATTAGCATGTATTTTATAATATATTAACATATAAGTTAGTTTTTCTTGTCATTTTTAACTTCTCGGTCATTTTAGTAAATTATGCCTGTTTTCTGTTAAGTGAGAAGGCGGTATGTATCTTCAGGTTCAGAGGAATCAAAATTGTACTCAAATGTTGAGAAAATAGGTCTATTCATCGGTCATTTTCTTAATTCTGGAAACAACTTGGTTATTTTTAAAAAAGAGTTTCCCAAGACTATTTTCTTGTTCCTCAGAATTTTAAAACTTTCAAAGAAAAGCCTGTCTTCAAAACCAACCCTTCCAAGGATCCTAAAAATTCCATCTCTCCTCAGTGCAGATGTTATGAAAGCTATTTAGTGACTGCCCTAGGGAAAAAGAGGACAATTTCTCATCTGTTTAAATAGGTTTTTCCTATTGAGTTTTCTGGGACAGGCTTATGAAAGAGCCTGAAAATAAAGTAAAACTTTTTTTAAAAATCTATTTTGCTTGCTTCTGCTGTAGCTTTTATACTGACATTTTCCATGAGAGGATGGGTCAGTGAGGTGAATAAGGATGTAATGCCTAAGATTTAATTTGAGATGCTGGTGCTCAGCATGGTGGCACACACCTGTAAATCCAGCACTTATGAAGCTGAGCTAGGAAGTTTGTGAGTTCAAGACCAGCTTGGGCCACAGGGTGAGACCCTATATCCAAAAGCAGGGAGGTGGCAAAAGCTTGTTGGCTTCTATACCAGGGATGGCAAGCTATGTCTCACAAGTCATTTTTCTTTTAAGACAAAAGATGTTATTTTGTGAATTGTTTTTTCTAACCTAAAACCTCAGTATTCAGATTTAATTGCAGTATTGGCACTTTGTGATAAATAGATGGTTTGGGATTATAATTTGGGTACTTGTCTCTAAAAGTTTGGCCATCCCTGGCATAGAATGCCTCTGTCCACCATTTTCTGTAAGTAGATTTTACCTTTATTAACCCAAAACCAATATATATATGAACTCAAATATCCAGGAATGTGTAACATTTAATTCAGCAGGGGCCCCATCCTCAGGAAAGTGTAACATACTAGTTCACATTGGGTAGAGTGAGCTGCCTTGGGAGCATGCTCAGGCACAGGTACTTTGTAAGGATCTTGTTGAATGGATTCATACTTTTGGGTGAATCGGTGGTCCTTAGGGTTCCTTTCACCTTGTGTTCCTTTCACCTGTGGACCTGGTACTGAAATACAAGTGAGTAGTAGTTAGGATCTCAACACTAGCTTCAAGATTGAGAGTCCTGGTGATACTAAGCCAAGAAGACAGAGAGGAAATCTGGCCTCTTAGACATGCTTTAAAGTAAGGCTTGGGGGGGCTTTTGGAATTAGGATGTGTTTAACAGAATGGTAGTACTAGTGTATCCCTTAGAGGCCTTTTTCCTCTTACTAAATAAGACCTTTTATCCTTATTTAACTCCCACTGTTAAATGAGGTGAAGCAGTCTTCAGCAATAGAGGGAAAGGACAGAAATTTCTATACCAGTATCACTCATGTGGGTGACCTTCCTCTTGCTGAGTGGCAGTGATTAGAATGTACATGATGTTTGCTGTTGCTACTCTGGGTTCCAATCCAGAACTGGGTTTTTTTTTTCTAATTTCTATTATTTATTAGTCTGTATTTATACTATATAATGATTACATTCCTCCT